TTTTTTTTTTTTTTTTTTTTTTTTTCTCTCTCTATAACGCATCAATAATATTATCGCATTCGCGTGTCCCACGACTATTCGCCGTATATTAATATCCGTTAAATAAACAGATATTTATTAAAAAAATATCCGTCGTCGGGGGAGTTGAAATTCAGATTTTAATTCGTTTTTCCGGAAAACGCTGTTTTCGGTTAATACTTGATAACCGTAATTTCGTACAATGAAAAAATAATAATAATGATAATAATAATACGCATAAAACGTATTAAAACTTGACGAACGTTCTCCCCCCCTCCCATCATCCCCCATCCCGCGAAGCAATTAAACTTCGAGGTGCCGATATATTTACAAGTCGAATTTCAGGAAAATAAAAAAAAAACGAAAAAAAATCCGTTTGAATTACGTGAATGCGCGACGCATTACACGCGTGAAATGGTTTCGACGACGCGCGTTTCGAAATTATTTTTATAATAATTATTTACAAAAAAAAAAAAATAATAATAATAATAAAAAACGGTTGTTTTTTTTTTTCATTTGTTTTTCCGGTGAAAACGCGTCCGCTTATGCGATTGAAAACCGTGTTCGCGGATGACGGCGGCGCACGGTCGTACCGAATTCCGAAACGATTAATTACGGATACCGAGAAAAACCGACGGTTCCGACGAAAACCGCGTGCGCGCGCGTGTGTGTATGCGGACGAAATAAAAAATTAAAAAAAAAAAAAAAAATATTAAAATAATCCGCACGTATTTTTATTTATTTTTTTTTTTTTCGAATTTTCAAATTTACCGAGGCATTGTGACGGGGCGAAAACGCGTGTTGGCCACCGTCGATAAACGGGAGGAAAAACGGGAACATTTTTCTCTTTTTTTTTTTTTTTTCGCAAAACACCGAATTTTACCGTACGCGTACGGGTTTTCCAGTTTTGTTAGAACATCGGAAACCAGCAATCCGTCCGTCAAACTGTTTTTGAAACGCGTAGCCGCGCCACACCGGGCGCGGCGGTTTCAATCGCTTCCTAAGATTCGCCGGCCCTTCGTCGGGGTATTTTTTTTCCATTTTTTCTTCCGTTCGTCGGCTTTTTCGAACGATTCCGAATTTCGAAAAATCCGCCGCGTCGCGCCTCGGATTCGTCGCGATTACTGTGTGCGATCCGACGACCGTCCCCCCCTTCCCCCGCGCGGTTCTCCGTCCGCCGGTCGAATCCGTACAAACAACACGCGACACGCGCGGCGACCGGCCGGACAACCGTAACACGACAGGACGTAACACGTAACCGGCAGCGGCGTTTCGACGGGTCATCGGGGGGGAGGGGGGGGAGGGGAACCGATTCGATTGGGGTTTTTTTTTTTTCGTATTTCCCGCGTCCCGGACAAAGGGAATATTATAACGTTGTGAAAACGGGCCCTGCGACACGTCGCGTCGGTGACCTACGGAGGGGAGGTGGGCGTATTAAGCCCTAGACGCGTATTCGCGTCGATAGCCCGCCGCGATCGTTTGTGGTCGTCTAAACGATACACCTGTTATACACCGTTTATTTATTTTTTTTTTCGGTTTATATTACGAACGGGACTAGCCCGGTCACAAAGGCTTGCCGTAAATAACGAAATTAAAACGGTGCGTGCAGTATTACGGAAACAACAGTTTAGAGTACAGACACGGCAGCCATCGTCGGCGATACGAAATCGCGGTAACTAAAGATATGAACGCGTACGTAATGTCTGGAACAAGAAAGACGGGCCCTCGTTGGCCAATTTCGCCGTTCCGAAACGAGTACGGTCGGACGTGTAACTGGCAGGAGAAAACGGAATGGACATTGGGTGTGCAGAGCGGGTGTTAGAGGAACGGGGATACGAAAGTAACGGGTACGCGTACGCGCGCGGAACGTACGGGTCGCAACCGATACCCTAGCCGCGAAATCGGCTGCTAAGCGAATTAAATTTTAAAATTCAAAATTATTATTGTGCCGCGCTCAATCCGGTGGTTGCCCGCGCGGAGTACCGAAACGAGGGAACGGGTTTTGAACCGTCCACCGTCGTCCGGTGGGCACGGGATAGAAAACCCGGGACATTTCCTTTAAAAACGACGTTGAAAAGCGGATTCGAATACAGCCGGAAACACCGGATTTTCTTCTGAAAAATACAATTTTCTGATCGTCACGAAAACCGCCCGGCGACATTTTACCCGTCTAAAATTCGTACCGGCGGTTTGTCGACGAAATCCGAGCAATGAGAAACGATCGTAAAATAACATACTTACATTGTTATTGTGTACGTTTAAAATTTGTTCGGTCGAAATATTGTATTTTTAGCGTTACCCGAAAATCGCGATCGTCGCGACAATATAAATACGCGCGTGTAAATAACAAAAAAAAAAAACGAATCGCATTGTTCGGGGGCGGACCGGGGAGTGTTCGACCCACTGTTCTAGGAAACATTCGGCCCGAAAAACTGAGGCCCGGTCAAGGCTGCGACTGAAAAAAAAATGTTCAATGGGGGGTCCGACGTTTTTTCCTCATAGCTCGAATGGCCTTTGCTTAAGGTTTTGCTTAAAACAATAAAACCGTCTATTTTAAAATTGAATAATATACATACGGGGTCCAGACCCATAGAGCGTTCCCTCTCCCCTCAAATGTGATTTCGGGTCCGGACAACGCCGTTGTTAAAATATTCACCGGGAGATAATTGATTTGTTCTGCTGCACATTTTTCCAAACGCTTTGGAAATAATAAACATTTTTGGTTTTTAAATAAGCCGTCGTGTTGGACCTTTATTGAAACGGGGTGTTCCCCCCTGCCACACGCCCGACGAGAAAAATAAATCGTCGAAGAAAAACACCTCGCATAATCGTGCGTTGCTCCGTCAGGGACCGCCTTCGGCCACCTTTTTTTAGCGAGCTCAAACCGGAACTTAATCGAAAATAACTTCCGATTTGTTATGCGAAACCACGCCGGGTAGATCACAGGGGAAAAACAATTTCGTTTCTTCCGCGGATTTTCGCTAGTCTGTTATCGTGGGGTGAAAGAACTCTGTGATTCCCGTTAAAGCGCCGGATCACCGTACTTTAGAACAGTTTCTTTTTGCAATTCTCAGATTGGTTCAATGATTTCCACGGACCTCCGCTTGTCCCTGTTCGAGCGCTATCTCTTCCTGTTTTTTTTTCTCTATTATTCCTTTCGTAATTGTTTTTATTCATTCGCTGTTTCTCTTTGTTTCGGGGAATAAAGGATAGTTTTCTATAATGTTTCTCGTTCGGTCATTCTTGAATGAAGTTCTTCGTTTTTAACTTTCTCTGTCCTGGGAATTTTCGGCGATCTTGTCCGGCGCCATGTTTCAAAACCTTCATAGGTTTTTCTTTCTGCTTCGGTTTTCTGCCGTGTTTCTGTCCCGTTAAGTGCCCCATACCCCGTAGAAAACTCGACGGTACAATAATATTGTAAACACAGTGTATTACGCGTGTTATAAAAATATAGGTTAGGTTTCATAATGCTATCTACGTTCAAACATAGGTACGTAATAATAATAATTTACAATATTATTATTGACAAACCGTTTACGTAGGGTTTACCGCGGGTCCCATTTGGCACAAAATATAATAATATTATGCGTGGGTAAAAATGAAAATAAACCGAAACCCCGGCGATACGCTAACGATACTGCTGCGGATGATAATAATAATATGGACTCGTGTCCGACGTGCGGCGACGGGGACGAGGATAAAACACGAGATAATATTAGGGGCGAAGGGGAAGGGTCGTAAAACGGTTTTTACACCTATAAATCGCGAATCCTTTTCCGAACTCGACAAAAAAAAAAATAATAATATAAACTACGACGACGACGACGGCGATAATAATAATACGATACCGCCGATTCCTTATTATCGGTAAGTATGTCCGATGATAAAAACGATCGGGCAAAAAAAAAAATGAATAATAATACTTCACAAATACCTGCGTACTGTGCGATAATGTTACAAGTGTTACCGACTATACCATTTCCGAAAAGAAAAAACATTTCGAAATCAAGCATAAAAACCGTAGAGGTGAGCCGGATTGATTGTCCGAACCCCCGTACTAACGGCACGCGCACACGAAATCGTAGCCCCTCGACTTGACTTGGACGTTCTGCGGGAGTGACCGAAGCCTAAAAACCACTTTCATTCCCCCTAAACATCATCCGCCGAAATTTGTATTGAAATTTAATTCGACTGTTATCACTTCGGGGCATGCGATCTCGTTTGGTCCAGATGAAGCCGCTAGATATCGTGGGAGCGTGGTAACGTACCGGGAAAACGGTACTGTGGACACGATAATAGACTGGGAGGAAACACGACAACGAGGTCCGGGGTAACCGCTGAGTTTGCGATTTTGCGTCGGGCGTTCGACGGGACAAGGACGACCGTATTAGCAGAACCGACGATTGCGGACGCGTCTTTCGCACACACAGCGTCCCGTTCACGCCTATATGCGGTTAATTTCAGTGATCGCGTAGAAAACTACTCGGGATATTCCGCCGACGGACTGCGGAACCGAAACTGTCCGATCGGCGCGACACTTCCGGGCGGAAAATTCGACGGAATAAAAGTTTAAGTAAAAAAAAAAAAAAAAAAAAACCGAAACAATGAAACCCGCAATCTGCGCTCGGAAATCTATAAGGCGGCGCCGGCCGTCCGAAATTATCAAGGGATCGAAACATCGTAAACCGCGAGAACTTAATTTTCCGGTAACGCGAGCAGTCTGCGGCGGCGGTACCGATTTATACGCGTATTATATATTTACGGGAGACTTTTAACCCATTAAGTTTCGCGTTCCCCTCCGGCCGCCCCTCGACGCGCGCCCCGCCGTTTCTCGTCGCCGCGTACGCAATAACAACAACGGTACATAACGCGAAACCCGCGGCATAATATTTATGTCCGAAAATATCGTTTAAAAGTTACGCCATCACGACAATGTCCCGTAATAAGTAATAATAATCACAACGCCCGGCGTATATGCACGCGCGCGGTTACCGTATTATTATCATTGCCATTATTACTATTATCATTATCATTATTATTATTATTATTGTTGTTATTATTACCGTTGTTATTATTATCGTTATCATTATTATTATTATGTGACCGGCGACGACGGCGGCGGCCGCGTAAAGTTTACGCGCGATCGGATCGACAAAACTATTACAAGTTCATAATATTATTATTATTTCGCGCGCTGTTAGGAGGACGGCGGTTGATACCCGCGTTTACCGCGGTCTCGGTATCCGCCGCCGTACAATATGGTAGGGTAGATAGGGGAATGAGGAGGCGCCGTGAACCGCCGAAATCGCGGCGTTTAGGTTGGGTCGACGCGAAATTCAACGAGGAGATAGAATCGTCGTCGTCGTCGTCGTCACCGTACCGGAGACCCGTAAGCCCGACGGCGTTTTGTTTTTAACGTTTTTTTTTTTTTTTTTTTTCTCTTTTCCCATTTCCGGATCGCCGAAAGTTTTTTTTTCAAGAAAAAAAAAACCCGCGACGACCACTGAGCGTTTTTCGGTTAGGATTTTCCGAACGCTTCGACTCGCCTGCGGTTTGCCGCGAGCTCCGTTCAGAATCGTTTCGTCATTACCGTTATTGTCGCGACGCTTTCGCCGCGTGTACGGCGAACCGAACAATACCCGTTACCTTCCCGGCTTCCCGTCGCACGCAGGACTGCGCGCGCAACGGCGGCGGGACACGTCCGGCGTTTTTATTCATTTGCGTACACGCGGGAGTAGAATTGAAATACGCGTCGTATTATTTTAACGTACACGCGGTGCGCACCGCACCGTCGGATGGAAATCTAAACATTTGTTCGCACGATTCCCGCGTTGCCGTCGCGCGGCACGCGTTTTCCCGCGGAATCGAATAAAAACGGACGGTTTTTTTTTTTTTTTTTTATGACGACTAAACATTTTTAATCGGGCGAAATAACGAGCGGAATAAATTCAGTCGGCTCGACGCGGTTTTCACGCCGCACGGTTACGTATTCCGGCGCGTTTGTCAATAATAGTAATAACAATAACAAAATGCGAATCCGTCGAAATCCGCGTTCAACGCAAACGGCACGGACGGCCGTCGTAACACTACAGAGCAGTGGCCCGGTACCGGTCTATAAACACACGTGCCGCACAGACGTCGTGTCGCGAAATCCGCAGAGTCCGGCCGATTTCGCGCCGCTACGCGGTCTCGACATTGCGGGGTGAACCGGCCGGTTGCCGGGCTCCGGAGAGAGTACCGAGAACGTCGCGCGCGTTTGTACGCGCCGGTTATATTTCCCACTCCCCTCCCTCCCACGGACGCGTTAACCGCCGATGCCTTTTTACCGTACCGGAATACTTCGCGCTCGCGTTTCTGGGTTCGAAAAACAAAATACTCGGGAGAGGGGGAAAAACAAAACGTCGACGTCGTCCGATTTTCAACGGCAGCCGTGGCGCGTGTACGGCGGCGTTTGCGGACAACTGCCCGTTCGCGTTTGAACCGTTATCGTGCGGCGGCGGTTTTGTCCCGCGGTTATTTTACGGGGAGAGAGCCGAATCCGGAATCGACGGCGGTACGTCGCACCGCCTTCAGCCCGTCGCTCTCCGGACGTTATCGGCGCGGGAAACGTGCGCATTTCGGTCGCGGTTTCCGTTGAAAAAAACTGTCCGTCGCCCCTCTGTCGTTTGAAAATCCCTGGTCGCGCTGTCGCGCTCGAACGCACCCCCCCCCGTCCCCCATCGCCCCTCGCCCCTCGTACCGCCAATGCGTTATGATATAATCATAACGTCCGTCGCACCCCGCCCACCAGCCAAGACGATATACCGCTGTACGCGCCGGGTTTATTCCGAAATTCGGCATTACCATACGCGACGCGATCACACAATATCGTCATTCCGAGCACTCCGTACAACGCGGATCTTGTACGCGCGTGCAAATCGTGAGACGGCGTTCAACGCGCGTGCGATTCGGCCCGGCTCCGGAGGACGGAAGACGCCGGATACGGTCCTAAACGCGCCGTTCTCGATCCCGCGAACTATACGGGGGAGGGGGTGGAGGAGAGGGGGTCCGGGTGTTTTCTATACGAACGTCCGTAACGAAACCCCGGTCACCCCGGCCACGCGGACGGTGGGTTTCGGTTGTCGCGGACACGGGACGCTGCCACGGTTACCGTTGTACACGGCTACGTTCACTGCTGCTGGCGACGGCGGAGCATTGCCGCCGGGTCGGCCGGTGTGGTTCATACAGACCGTATATTATTATTGTTTATTGCCAACGAATCGATAAAGAAATACGTATGTATACAGTTCTTAGCCAGCATGTATTTTGCTATTATCATATTGCAACAACACGCGTATTTACATGTGCGTATTATTAGCGTACGCGCGCGATTACAATCGCGGACGGTCCGCCGAGAGCGCGTGGCAACGGATCAATGTCGGCGTACGGAATGGCGATTGTTTTTTACGCGATGTAAAACGGCCGCGGGAAAAAGTGTCAATGCGACGGTTCTGTCGTCGAAAACAATCGCGCGACGATCATACGCGGGCGAGCCCGGGTTCGGAAGGCGGAAACCGGCAGAGGCCGCGTCCCCGGGGGGTTCACGGGGACGAAAGACCGTATTATAATTTGAATCGCACGATATTCGGTGACCCCCCCGCCCTTTTTTGTTTTTTGTTTTTACGGAACAATTCCCCTCGGTAATACGGGCCCCGGGCCCCCGCGACCCTTGACCCGGGCCTGCGCGCAGGGCCTGTTCGGCGACGCCAATTTCGACGACCGACGGTCCGGTCGAAAGTCGTTCGGATTAAAACCGACACAACGCATCGTAACGACACGATAATCTGTTGTATCGAAAAGTCAACGCGTATATTCCATAATCAAGGGTGTTTTTTTTTTTTTTTTTTCTTTCATTTTATCGTTTCGACGTTGATATCCTTAACAACAAACCTCTTAAGAGCACCGTCGTGTCACACTCCGCGGCCGCGTGTAGGCGATTTTGACGAAATTTTCAAGAGGAAAGTAGAACATGCGATCGACACGAATATACTCGAGTTCGCTTTCGAATAAATTCAAAAACGGATTCCGCGTCCGTTATCGCGATAATATCACAGGCCGCGCACTCGTGAAATAATATATCGTGTGCAAAGTACCCTTCTACCGCAGTGATTTCGGGAGGCTTTACGAAAACCGAAGACAACCCCGTTTTAATAATCGCATTGACGTATTGATTTTCTTCGGCAAAAGTGCGGTTTCTCTTGACGAATTATTTAAAAATCCGTGACTTAAAAAAAAAAAAAAAAAACCACCCATATAAATTATTAAACATAACATAACGTCGTTCCCTGTGTGAAATTTAACAGTCGCGTGTAGTCCTTACGGTTTTTCGTCGTCTAAATGGTCTTTTCACACTCGGGTTTAAAACTGTTTTCCGACGCATTTGCCTTACGCGATATTAATAATTTAAAAATAATCACGCGGCCGAGAAAAACTGTTTCTACCGGCCGACCGGCTGAAAATACCGGCGGATATTTCGACCGGACTCATTCAGAGGGGGTGTGGAGAGGTTGCCGTTTCGTTTACTGCCCGTACAGTATTTTACCGAACGAATAACCGGGTAACCGAAGACGGGAAACGCGTGGTTTTTTTTTTTTTTTTTTTACTATATTTTCGCCGTAAACAGCGGCGGCCGTGTAAACCGCAACGGTCCGTTCGCCAAACCGCAGTGGCCGTAAAGCATTCGCGCGTCGTTTGCTTACCTGCACCAAATTATCGCGCATCGTGTGCACAACGGCACGCCGAACAATAGAAGGTGGCGTAAAACGACGAATAGACGCACGTTTTCGTTCGACGAGCATTTAACGTTCAAATTTTGACGAAGTTCACGAAAAATTTCCGAATCAATTGTTCTGTATTTTTAAAATGTAAGATTCGATTATATCTATGGTATGAATTCGATTATTTGAACGGAAATGAATTTAAAAAAAAAAACAAATCGCGTTCGTTTGAATCAGACACGTCGTAATCGTAGTTAAAACGCACGCAGTACGGTTAGAGTAAAACATCAATCGATAAATTGCGTGTCGATGAATGAATACACAAATGAATCGAGCGGTAAAAAATAATATCATCAGGTAATACCCCCCCGGCGTACGGTAATGTGCCGTTGTTTTTTCACGAAACGAAACCCAGCTGAGCGCCTGCGCAATATTATCGCCGTACGTTAATATTTTTGCATTAAAACGGAAGTACCCGTGCAGCGTTCGAAAACCGAACGGCGAATTTTCGCGACGCGTGAACTGCCAAGTTCTGCGTGAGAACCAAACTCGGGTTTCCGGGCGAACGCGCGTTTTTCCAGTGCTGTCGTCGAATAATAATACCGAACGGCAACCGAACGAACCGTCTCGCGAAAAAGTTGAAAATTAACAATAGCGATGCGCGAAACGACGGCCGCCCGCCCGCCCGCTGCGGGGCAAAATTTCGGGGAATCCGCCCGGGATTTCCGGGGTGCCAACGTACAAACCCGAGAACGCGCGTTGGCGATCGGGATTCCGGGCGGGCGGAGGGACGGGCCCCCACCCTCCCCCCCCACGACCGGAACGGGAACTCCGATCTCTGATGGCCGTCGCGCGTTGGCCGGCCGCGCGTGGAGTACCGACGCGGCGCGCGTGTAAACGCCCGCGGTCCGGGTGTCCGTCCGCGCGTCGGCCCGACGCCGTCGCGGGTCCCGGGCGGCGATGCGGAAATCGACCGCGCGCACAACCCGTCGCCCCGTCGGTCCGCGGAGCGCGCGCGCGCGCCGACCGCATTAGCTAATGGATTCGTTCTTTCTTCGCGCGCGCGAGCCTCGGCCGCCCCGAACAATCGGAGCGGAAGAACCGGCCGGCGGCGGCGGCGGCGGCGGCCGGGCGATATTTCCCCGAGCAGAAGAGATAACGGCCGCGCGCCGTCACGTCGTCGTGTTAAATTATTATCGTCGTACGGGCGACAATGTTCCGGAACCGCATTATTGTCACTGCACGCGCCCGCGCCGTTGCCGGGCGCGTACGGTACGGGTACGGGGAAATCGCCGTGGTATTCGCACGCCCGCGCATGACGAGCGCCGGACGCGGAGCCGACCGTACACGTAATCGTGACGCACACACGAGGTTCCGGTAGAAAACCCCTAACACCCCTACGCCTTAATTTTTTTTGAATAAAACGGCCTCCCCTCCGGCCGGCGGGCTAGAGAAAATCACCGTACGAGGAAAGCACGGTGCGCGCGGTCTCTGTACGCTTCGGTGCGAGTGTCCCGGTCGAAAAGTCGTTCGCGGCAGCAGACAGAAAAAAATCGAAAACGAAAAAAAAACAAACACGTCATAGTGAAACCGATTGGTCCCTCGCTGCGCTCCGGACGGGAAACCACGACTCGAAAACGGCGGGGACGAAAAATCGTAAGAATCGCGTGTGTTCGTCTGTTCGTAATACTACGCGGGTACACAAAAACTCTGTTCGGTAAACCTCTACCGAGTTCGTATTGGGCTTTCTTTTTTTTTTTTCTCGGTGCAAATTTTACCTCCCGTAACTTCTCGTCCCTGCTCGTGACTGTAATTATTGGGCGAGTTATACACACCTGTAATCATAACCGCCTCGCCAAATTACAACGTCAATGATAATTATAAAAAAACGAAAATCGGGTAACAAAAAAATAGGTAAACAGTCACTACGCATACTCATCGTGAGCGTATATTATACCCTACAATATTATTTTATACCCCATGGTATTAATTTGTTCCCTATAATAATATTTTATACCGTTATTGACTCACCGCACCGACAATTAATACGTAAATAAGTTACGTTTTTTAATAATATAATCAATAAAACAGACCGCGGTGACTAAATACTACTTTCCAAAGTTCTATTGTTTTTTTTTTTGCTCCCCCGGTTAAGTTAAAAGTTGTTAAAAAAGTAACTTATTATAGTGACTTACCCGCGGTGACTGCAAAACTTTTTAAACGATACGCGCGCAATCGCGCTCAAAAAAATTACCAAAAACTATTTCCTTGAAATAAGCTCTAATACAAAACAAACAAAAACCGGTAGATTATGTAAATCGAAAAACCGCCCCCGATACGAGTGTAACGGACAACATTACGGTTTATCTAAAAATCGCAATATTATCGTCTGTTCGTATTTGTATTCATATCAATCTCGAAAAATGTGTTTTAATTATCGCGTCGATTTGTCGATGTGTGCCGGCGTTGCCTTGTGTACGAACGGAAGAGCTTTGACAAAAAAAAAAAATTCTTTCTCTTATTGTATACGGACAAGTATATAGTTTCATATAGTTTTTGACACGATCGATAAACGCACGACAAAATAAAAATATCCGCCTCCTTTGAGCGCGTGCTGTGTCGACGGCGGTGGATAGTCGAAAATAACACAATCACGCGATCGCTATGAAAGTGCGCGATGCGCTCCGTCAAAGGCTAAACGGGCAAACGTGTTCGCGGTTACGAAAACGCCTCGGGGCCTTGAAACCGGCGGGAAAAGTGCCCGTTTCGTTGGGATATTACGGCGCAAACGGCGCGCGAAAGCGCACGAAAACCCCGCGGGTCCGTTCCGTTCCCGCGATCGCGGCTCGCGCGCGTATTTCGCGTACGCCGGTGCCGTCACGCCGCGCGAATTCCGAATCGAAAATCGCGATGGCCGTCACGACGCGCGATATTATCGTTCCGCGCGAACACGCGTCCGTATTAGAACGAATTGTTACCAGCGGGGGGGAGGGAGGAGTGGTAGTATACGCGCGGCCGGCCGGACGGCTACGACCCCTGCGGACAGTCGTTTCCTGTTCGCGTAACCCTTCGCGAACCGTGCGCGCGTACAGCTGACAATAACACCCAACGCTGCCGTATGCAGTGTGCAACGACAATAACGCGGAGCGCGGCCGTCGCAGTCGTGCGCGTGTCCACCCACTCCCATCGCCACCGCGCGCGCGTTCGCGTTATCGCCGCGGTATTGTAATCGCGCACGCACGCATGCGCACACGGGATATCGTGGTTCGTTCGATTTTAAGGGGCGAGCCCCTGTCACTATCCTTGAATGGACGGTAATTTTACCTGGAAAACGAATACGACGCGAATATACAGGCGCACCTGTAAAACAACGAGGAAAATTCCGTTTTGTGACGGCCGCGGTGCGGAACCGCTTGCCGTTATTGTTTTTCGAATGAATGACGGCTGTGTAATAGGTGTCCGATAAGGGCGTACGTTTGAACGTGGAAAAGACACAAGACGGCGAGTCGTGTGTGCTAATCGAATTTCGGAACCCCACCCCCACTCAAATTTCGTATCAGTATAGTGGTATGACCCGCCCCCTACCACCTCTTAAACAAACTTCGGACCCGCCGTCGCAATAATTACCGGTTAACTTCAAACGCTGATAAAAATATACACAATTTTTGACGACCTGAAAAAAAAAACACCTCGAAAATGTTAAACCTGCCGACAAATCGATAAACGTCGGAGTATTTTAAAAACCGTACCGTGTCCAGAGTGCCATCACAATTATGGTATTCGGTAAAAGCTGCCGGTCTCCACGGTCGTTTCCCACCGTGATAATACAACGGCGAAACGAGATCGTTGATTTTCCCCGTCGCCAATAGTGCCCCATACAACTGTACAACGTACCCCGATCCACCAGTCATAGGCTAAATCAACAACCGGAGTCGACGGTCGGCGCGGCATTTTTAGTGGAAAATTTGTTTACGGACGTAAAAACCTATAAGAGAAAAAAAAAAAACAACACGCACATCGCTTCGCTCGGAATCCAAATGTACGATTGTTCGAAAACGGAATGTTCAAAAGTCCGTCGGACAAATTATAACAGAATTACTCCCGCGGCTTGCATTTTACGGAAAAAACATCGGCCGATTTTATTCGTTATTAGCGTTTGGTCGCGGGGTGACAAGTGCTCGGAGTCACAAACGCGGTTATTATTTGGCGGCTCGTGCCTTTTTGGCGAAATCAAAGAGTACGCCACGGCGACGCGAGACGCTTACGACGTTTAGACACGGGTTAACGCGTCAAAGATCGACTCACTCCTTTCTTCCCCCTCCCCCCCCCCGGTGGCCGTAAAGGGATTAACGCGCGAGAGCCGCCGCGAAGGATTTGAATTCCGGACGTAACATTGTGGACACCCGCCGACGTCGCATCGGGGAAAAAATCAAAAATCAAAACAAAACGAATCCCCGGCAAGGATTTCGCGACGGTTTTTATTTTTTCCATCGAACTCGCCGCCGCCGCCGCCGCCGCCATACGGTCGCGTTCTCGTCGTGACCGGCGACAAACGGCTCCGGGCCCCATCCGACAACCCCAAACCGAAAAATCGGCCCCGCCGAGGGGGTCGTGACGCGAGACAATGCACGCGTATTATTGTTGTAAACGGCACGGGCGCGCTCTGCACTTATACAATCGATATCGGCCCCGCGCAATGAGCGCACGCGCGTTTAAGGAGTTCTCCGGGTGCGTATTTCATTATAATACCGTCCGAACTGGTTTTTTTTTTTCCTCTCGTTTTTTGTTTTTTGTTTTTTTTTTTTTGTTTCGTTCCCTCTTGTACGCGGCGCGTTTCGCGCGCAGGCTTTTACGCGCTTGTTGCACTCGCTATCGGGTGCCGAGCAACAGCTGGTCGATCTCCCGGCGGGGTCCGCACGCGACACGTACGGCGGCCCGCGAACCGGTACGCCGACGGGGTTGCCCCCGCGAACTTTGCGCCGTCGGAGGGTCGCTCGGTGAATCCGGAGCGAAAAAAAAAATAATATAAAACACAACACGCCGAAAAGGGGAGAAATATTATTATTATTATTATTGCCGTCTGAACCTTTCCGAACGGTACGCGCGCAGCGTTTTGTGGGGGCCCGGTAGCACCTGGCACGCGACCGCCGGAACAATATGACGCGCGGGTGCGCGCACGGCACGCGTCGTCTACGAGTTATTATTATTATTATTATGTGTATAATTAAACAATATAACGGAGCAGCTGGACAACCGGTCCGTCGCGGATACGAGTGTCGTTGCACTGCGCGCGCGCTCCGGCGTAACGGGAGCCGGCCAGCCGGCGTCGCGGGACCGGCGAAAAACGGACCCGGCCGGGCACCGCGTCCGTACCCCGGCCGCGGGTGTCGGGCGGTCCGGGTGTTCCCGACGGGAGCGACGGCTGTTTTTCGCACGGAACGGGTCGATTGGCCGCGCGCCGCTCGACCCGGTTTTCGCGCGTTCGTATTCCGACTTTCGGCATCGTTTCGCGCGCGCGCGGTCAAAACGTTTAGTGCGTTTGTACGTTTGAAAACGCGCGCGCGTTCGAATAGATCTCGCGATCGGAACTGTCGGTTTCCGCGTGTCGACCCGTTGACGCGACGTTGCGCTCGATCGGGTCCGGGCGCGGGCGCGGCGGCACGGCGTTTTATGAATGTTCGCCCGCGTCCGATACTATCGGCTTGGCCGACATTTAAAGTTTCCGAGACCGCGGTGAACACGCGCTTAGCGAATCGCCCGCGTATGTTGTACGTTGTGTACGCAGACGGTTTTATTTTTTTTTTTTCTCGTTGGGTTCGTCGACAATTTTTTATTCCTCCCCCTCCCCATCACTCCGCATAAAAAGCGTCACGGATCAACAAATGTTCGTCGGCGATCGAGAGACTCAAAAACCGTCCAACCATAACAACGCGGGCACCGAATTTCGCACACGTATTCCGTATAACTCGCGGAGGGTTTTGCAGCATGCACGCGAATACGGTGAAGACTAGGGAGGCGACCGCTAAAAATAAGATTTATTCAAAATTCAACCCCTCGAGGATCAGAAAAATATTTTTAAACGTTTACGGACAACAGCGGCGAACCGTAGTGATAGGGAGAGGATGGAAACAGGAAGTCGCGGAGAAAAACGTGTATGTTATTTTACTGTCTTTTTTTTTTTTTTTTCTCCCGTTCGATACACACACGGGTCGAGCCGTATGGCCGTACAGTAACAATAATGCATATTAGAAACTCACGGGGACAGTCGTGAAAATCGACATCTGTAAACTCTAAACAGCAAAATGAATACGAAATAATAATCGCGCGGGTATTTTCGGACGTCGCTTTTTTAAAGGCGCAATATTGTGTGTACGTATAATTGCGCCGTATACGCCGATAAATATTGACCGCCCCTAAATGGACCGAACAAATTTCTCCTCCGGCAACGTGGTACTCCCGTCGCCTACTCATACGCGGCTGTGGGCCGCCACGCAATAAACATTTTCCCGGGCCGGTCTGAAGTCCCAATCGGCCAGAGACGGACGTTTTCAACGGCGTTTCGAACGCTCGGATCGGTGTAACGCGATCGGACGTTATTGCGGTGTTACTTTGTTTTTACCGGACGGACCCGTGCGTATAACAACATTTTCGGCGGAAGGGAGGTGGGGGTTGCGATTTACTTGTAAGCGCCGTACACGTAAATGCGCGCGAGAGAAAAACGTTTTCGACGAGTCTCGACGTCTCCTGATAGTTCGGTTATAAGTGCGGGCCGGATCTCAGGAACGGCAGCGACCTAACTGAACTAACTACTCGAGTACGGTCGCCCATCGAAGTTTTTCGCCGCTTTACACCGCCGACTGATCACACGATTTGTGTGTGTTATAATTACGACGAATCTCCGCCCGCGGGCGACAACCCTCAAACGGACCCGGCTATACGGCACGATTCGCGCGAAAAGTGACCGGGTGTAAAAAAAAAGAAATCCAAGCATTTCTCTTCGGCCAAACTGCAATTATTTCGCACACGTGAAACCGAATAAAAACTCAAAAACAACAAACGGTTAGGTTAGCCATATAAATAATGTATATAAACAGTTCGAACGTTTTTTTTTTTTTTTTTCTGAAAATCGTGTGTCGCTTATTGAAAAAACGACGAAAAAAAAAAAGCGAAACGAAACGAAATCGCCGGCAATTATGGGCGGGAGAAAAACCGAACGACACCGTGAGCGCGTGCTGTCGCGAGTCCGCGGCCGGTCGGGTTCGGACGCGGGCGTAAAGGCGGAAGGCGAAAAAAACAAAACGGAAAAGTTTTTATCGCGCGCGTCGAAAAAACACGTCCAATCGCGAATTTATACATTTTTCTCGCGTCTGCGATCGCGCCGCAATTCGACCGTAATTTCACAACTCGGCTTTTCCGTCGCCGCCGCCGTCGCTCGCGGTTCGCACAGTTCGTTTAACCTTTTTATAAATCGACTGATTGACAACACCGCCGCCGGCTCTTCGGCGGATTTGTCTCCGCGCGGTCGTTTATTCGCGTCGTGTAACGCCGCATGTAATAAATTTCGGCGAACATAAAATAAACGTTTATTTTATTTATTTTTTTTTTTTGTTGTTGTTTTTTTTTTTTACGCGTATGTATACGAACGAACGCGAAACGCCGTCGAAATGTTTTTAACGGTGAAAATCTGCGCGAAAAATACGGCGGCGCGGCGCCCGGGTACCCCGCCGTTGTTTACCGCGCGTGCAAGTGTCCCCCGCGGCGCCGTATGCGCGATACATCGGAAAGCGTCGAATTTTATTTCCCCCCCCCCCGACGGTTTCAGAAACGAATCGGTCTAAAAGCGTCGCGTTGTTACCGTTTTATTTCGTCTGCGCCTCGTCTTGTCCCCGCGGAGTTCATCTCGAGTGTGGGACGGGGAGTGTAGCGGCAGAGCGTCGTCTGTGCGGCGGACTCCGAAAACGTCGGCGCCGCCACGCGTTCAAACGAATCTGCTGGTCCGTCTGTCGACGGAACTCGCGTGTTTCGCGTGCGCGGGTTCGACCGCGCAAACGAGGAACGACGACAGACGGCGGTGCCGCGAGCGGTCCAGTGCCGATCGGATCGCGGGTTTCGAAAACAAACAAAAAAAAAAAATTACGAAAAAGTCAATAGACCGTCAGGGACATCGCGACGGTCGCGGGACCTACCCCGTATTGTTGTGCTGTAGACGATTACCGCGCGGACTGTCCGTCGGTAATAAGTATCGTTTCACCCCCGCCCATCACCATAATGGCGTGCCGATAGGGTGGCGTGACGGACAACAAGCCACGGGCCCGCGATTTTCAGGGGCCCCAGGTCAGGGCCCGGAGTATCGTTTCTCGGTGAATGGACAGCCGAATAAAAAAACATTGTTTGCGAGTTTATTGAGTTACACGAGTTACCTCTTTTCTTTATTTTCTCGAAACTGTATTTTCGGTGGGCCCCGATTCGGATAGTGCACTTGGCCAAGGTCATTCTTTAGTAGGAAGAGGTGTACACATACATTTTTTTTTTTTTTTTTTTTGATTGGTCTTTTTGTTAAATTTTCAAGATATTTTAGACAAAACTTCAGAATAGCATTTTTTATGCGGGTACTGCCATAGCGATCTTTTTTTCGACAGGGGCATTAGGAGTTCTAGTCACGCCACTGCCCAACCCCCGAGTGATATTACCGTCCGAAATCCGACGTTGAAACGGTGAAAATGTCGCGAACGACCGATATATTTGTTTACCCGTCGTCCCGCCGTACACAACTCGGTCGCGCAATACGTCGCGACGGCCGTTTGTACGCGGGATTATTCGGCTGTGACGTTTATACGTATATA